AAGATCTCATAAAATACAGATGACAAACACTTTCCTTTTTCCTGCACATACCAAGGTATAATAAAGCTTAATTTGTAAAGTAGACATTATAATTCAACACTGCTTAAAATAAAACAATGTTAAAGGGATCCCACCACAGACATAGTTTACAGCAAACTGAAAACATTTGTTCGTGCTGGTTTGGACTCTACTGGATTGGAATACATGCCCAAAGTAAAAAAATTCATTGAGTTCTTTAACTTTGACTTCTGTCCCTAGTCAGTATTCATCTTGTCAGAGTTCCACTCAGCTGACAGACACCATACAGAAATTAGCTACAGACTGTAAGCCGCTCCAAAGTTGATCTATACCACAGCTGTCCCATGTAGTCCTACAAAACTGGAAAGCTCTGGGTTTCCTGAAAGCTTTTGTAAACCAGTTCAGCCAAATTGATTGCTTCATGTATATCTTCAGATCATTGAGAAAACCAGATGGTTCTGATGAAAACGCTGCTTTCCTAATTCTCTCCAGGCCTTTACTTAACATTTGAGCCTTCCTGGCCCCTCACAAAGCCATGCAAACTACAGCCAGAAGTAGTTACAGAGATGAATACATTGTTCCTGGTCCTCAACAAAGGACTGAAATGTTAATTCCAAGGAAACTCCCTGGAAATCGGGTAAAATTGCTACCTATATTGCCTATTGACATACCAAGATTATATGGTTTAGAAATATTTGTTATATCTATGCTAACAAAATAGGTATAGTTATAAATAAATGAGTGTTTTGATGGTATGAAATTTTTGGTTATCCCCAGACAAAGAATGCTAAGACCCTAACAAGGATTTTACAGAGTCACATAAAATAGGGGAAAGTGAAGAACTCCAACTTAGGCTTACAGGGCATCTTATAATAAAGACAAACTAGATGAATTCCTGTTTATGATAAAAGTTCTGTTTTCAAGGATTAGACTATGTCTCACCTGTAACCTTAACTATAAATGGTTCTGTACTTTCTGCTACACAAATTTCAATCATGTCTTTGTTTCAAAATATTGTTTACAACCATACCTTTGTTTCAAAAAGTTATATGACTAACTATGACTACCTGTTGTGATTACCTGGTTTTGACCACATTGTTTGTGTTCTGTTCCTATAACCCCACTCATTTTCCTGTATTTCAAAACGCCCTATTGTTGATATATAAAAACCTTGTCTTACATCTGATACTGACCTCTTGAACTCCACATTAGTAAGAGGCATCCTATGTACACAAATAAATAAGCTTGCTTTAGTTAATTGTCTACTTTAATTAATTTGTCCAGTATGATTTGGATTGGTGGTCTTTCTCCTGCCATCTTTGGGATTAACAGCTTTTGCATGGTATTTCCTTGTAGTAACAAGACAAGCAACATATACACTATGCTAAAGTTTTTGCATGTGTTTTTAAACAACTTCTGACAAAAAACATTGTCATTCCATATTCTCTTCTACTCTTACACCTCATAAATGCAATGTGCGTTTTCATTAAGTGGGTGCTTGTTATAGATTGGGGCTATAGCATTTGCATTTTTAGTGATAGCAAACATTTATTTTATTCCAATTTTTATAGTTAGGAAAATTTCTCTTATGCGAATTCTTAGCAACTTCAACATACATTTTTCTGACTTTCTTATCTCAAAAATTTTCACTTAAAGAGAGTATTTGGGGCTTCTCCTTGGTACATTCATGTTGACAGCATCAAAAATCTTAGGTTTAGAAACCATTGCAAACTAGGAGTTACTTGAGCTCTGCACTGTCAGCATGTGATAGTCAATTTTCTAATGAAGACAGCTACTAAATATCATCAGCACATTTGGAGACATGATATTTAAGTTTCTTTTTTATTTCTGGATTTTTCACAGAATAATTTCTGCTTGGAGTTGAACATGATTAGATGAAACCTCAGAATATGAAGCTGCACTGCACAGGTGTAGGAAGGCTTTGCTCTGTGAGGGTTATCCAAACTGTTAAAAAGATAAGGAATTCATGTATTACTTGTGCCAGGAAGCAGGTCATGACCTAGGGAGCAGAGAAAAAACATCAGGGACAGACATCAGGGAGGAAAAAACTGAAGAGAATCAAGCCTGGAAGGTCAGGCATTAAGTTTATTCCAGGAACTCAAGAAGGAAGGAAGAAACACTTCAATTTCTCTTTCTGTCCCTATGCCTGTCTCTGCTTTTTTCCCCTTGGTCCTCTTTTATTGATCATATACTACTCTCTACTGAACTGAACCAAAATGGTGTCTTTGACAAAACAGTTATTGATGTTAAATTATGTTGAGATAAAATCAGAGAAGTGAGATAAACCTAGTAGGTTTATGTGATTACTAAATTTTTTCAGGAGAAAGGAGGAGACTCTTGGGACTCAAAAAAAAAAATAAAAGATAGCAGGTCTAGAAGAACAGAGACTTACAGGATTTTCTAGTGCCCCTTGTGGCAGTATAAAACAAGCAAAAAACTTCTGCGGGTGGGTAATCTGGCCAGCCAACCAGCATGAAGAGATTTCAGGATTGTGCTTCTTTTTCAGATCTGGGTAGAGGGTGCTAAGGATACAGCTTTCATGAGTTGTCATCTATGGTGGAGTGGGCTTTTCCATCATTCAGGATTTCCCATGATGCATCTGCTTATTTGAGTTATCCTTGATCTTGTAAGTAATCCCTCACTCATGCTTCTGTTAGAAAGTCCCAGTTAAACTCACTGGTTCACACACTTGGACATTGGTGCAATTGTCACTTCGATCTGATTATACTTCATCTGTGTGTGGTATAGCAAAAATCATTTGCATATGACAAAACCTTTATGTGAATTACAATAATAATGTACTTAGTGTTAAAAGTGGAGATACAGTGTGCTTCCTGTTCTTCAGTAGTTATAAAAGAATTTTGCTCTATACCTGGTCAGCAAACGCACATGTTTTTGCCATTCTGAAAAATGGTAGTATGTTAGTAGGAAACTTACTATTTCCCAATAAATTTTCTGATATGAAAGTGTTAATTACTTCAGTTTCATAATTTCTAGTATTTCTTGAATAACAAATCCCAATGTTGCCTTCATTATTAATATTCACCTGAAAATGGTGAAAGAATCACAATTCTATACTGTTGATGAAATAACATAGAATCTTTAAGAAGTAGAAGTGAGACTACATAGAGAGATAAATAATCTTGCTTATCCACAATAATCTGTCTCCATTAAATGGGGAAACTTCACTGAGATATATTTGAAAATCTGAATTCTCCAGATTATGGTGAAATTATTTTCATAATTCAAGCTAGAAAAGAAGACAGTTTGTAAATACTATTCTTGTCTCCAATGTGGAAAGATGCAAAATTTTAACTCTTTTTAAATTTAGAAACAATTTTTTACATATCAATTCCCTCCTTTTCCCTCTCCCTCCCATCCCTCCATGCCTCCTACCAACCCCCCAACCTACTCCCCTCCAGCACCGCAAGGATGGTGAGCACTTTCACGAGGGACCATCAAAGTCTTTCACATCAGTTGTGGGAAGGGCCTGGGCCCTCCTCCTTGTTTATGGACTGAAATATTATCCCTCCATAGGGAATGGGCTCCCAAAGTCCATTTGTGCACTAGGGATAAATACTGGTTCTACTGTTAGAGGTCACACAGACTGTCCAGGCCTCCTAACTGATACCCACAGTCAGAGGATTTGGTACATTCCAATGCTGGATCACCAGCATTATGACTGGGTTTCTGTGTGTTCTTACTACGTCAGATTAGCTGGTTCTGTACTTTTCTCCAGCATGGTCTTGACTCCTTTACTCATATTTCATCCCTCTCTACAACTGGATCCCAGTGGTCTTGAAGAATACCAGAGCTATCCTATATAGAGGAGTGGAAGGTCCAGGAAATAGAAATAAGTCACATACAGTTTGTTTTCTGTTTGGAGAAGGAACCAAGTAGAGTGAGAATCATGAGAAATAAGAGGAAGTTGACATAATGAAGAAAAGACCGGGGATACAGATTTGAAATATCATGTTTATTGCATGATGTGGTTGAATCTGAACATGTGCCCCTAAAAGTTTCCTGAGAAATTAAATCCTCAATGAAAGCAGAGTTTTGCAGGGCATCCACAAAAGCATTGTAAAGGTGTGCCTTGAGCTCTTCTCTGTGCTTGCTTTATACAAATAGAAGAGATCAAGTTCTATCAGCCATTCTCTACCAATCTGAAGCTTGGAATCTATGAAGATTTCAGGACCCAGTGAAGCCCCTGAAATGCTGTTCAGTGAAAACTCTCAGTCTGTATTTCTCTTCCAGAGTATATGTTTGTCATGAAGGAGCCATATAGCACACTATGAAGAAGTCTAAGGACAGGTGGTCAACTATTTTTGTGGAGTAAGTGCAGAGGTAGCACTTTGAGATGGTTTACAAGACTGGACCTACTGGAAATTACTGCAGTTAGCAGCCCAACACCTTTATTTGTTAAAAAGAAACAAACAAACATACCTGGTTCCAATACAAGCAATGGCTAGATCTATCAAAGGGTGAGAAGGGCAAGAAAATATAGGAAGAACATGGCAGAATTCAAGAAGTTGTGGGAGGTCATAAAAATCTTGAATAAAATTGTTGGGAACTTCATAATCTCTAATCCCCATTGATTGTGTCTTTATTTTGTTGCATTTTGACAATTAAAGCTACAGAGTGAACTGGTAGATCACGAAGAGCCAAACACCTCAGCTACAGACTCTGCAGATACCCAAAACACATGGAGACAAAACAACAGAAAGTAGAGTTGCATGAAGAGGCACAAGAATTAATGAACTCTTGTTCACTCAGGAACCCCATAAAATTAATAAGCTGAATTTATAATATATGCAGAGGATCCAATTAGACACCTAGGCACTGTGATTATTGTGTCAGTCTATGAGTTCATATAAGCCTTAGTTAGTTGTTTCACCATAACTTGATCTCCTGGTATCTTCCATACAGTAGCTCTTACACTCTTTATGCCTCCTCTTCTATAGAGTTTCCTGAGCTCTCAGAGGAGGAATTTAATGGAGACACCTCCATTAGAACTGAAGATTCTTCAAATAATGTCTGGCTGTGGGTTTCTGCATTTATTCCCATCTGCTGCAGGTGAAAACTTTTTTCATGATGAGCTGATGAGGTACTGGTCTATGAGTAGAGCAGACTCATTAGGAGTCATGTAATTGATACATTCTTAATACCAGTGGTGTTTGATTTTACCCTAAGTCTCTGGGCTATCTAGTTTCTCTTTCTTGGCCACCCAAGCAGAGTGGAGTATGGATTCCCTCACACGACTTGGGCCTTGAGTCAAACCAAACATTGGTTAGCTACTTCTACAACTTCTGTGTCACCATTGCCCTAGTTTATCTTTTAGGCAGGATAGATTGTAACTCAAAGGTCTTGTGGTTGGGATGGTGTTTTCAAAATATGCTTATATTTTTAAGAACTGAGGAATTTTTGACAAACATTTTTCTGAATTATTGCTTTCCTGAGAAAAGAATTTACAAGTATATAATTCAAGACAAAAATATATAAATCAACCTTAAAAATACTATAATTACCTGTTCATTAAAAATAGTGTCTGTTTATTTACCAGTCTGTGAATCTTCTTAATTAAATCAACTCAATAAGCTAGTTACCATAATAAAAGTTAACCTACTTATCATAGTATAAGTATTCTGCCTATTTACTTCTTTTGCAAGATAAATAAAAGAAAGCTCTTCACCTCCCTTACCATTGATTCTTCAAGTATAATAACAATTCAATATCCAAGACTTTTGAAACATTTCATAAGGGAAGAATACTTCCTTATTTCAAATAGCATATGAAAGTTAAAATGAAAATTTTATTTCACCTTAATTATTTTCCAACCCTATAATTAGAAGCTAATCTTTTCCACACATAGCTGCAGGCTGAGAACAAGTAAATGCTTGACTGTGGAAGTGATTGCAGAACTTTACTTTCTGATAATTACAAGATATAATTACGTTGGAGCTTTTAAAGACCTTTCAGTGATTAGGGAAGCTTCTCTAATTCAGTCATAACATTTGTATTACTAATAAACTAAGAAGTCCTTAACTCTAATAGCTGACAAATGTGATAGAATACCATTTCACCAAATGGTATTGGAGGCTTCAGGGAAAATTATTTAAGTATTTAAAAGCATTACATATTATGAAATCAAAGTTCATATGTTTTCTTGATAAATATTTGGTAAATTATGATGTTATTACAATAATGTTACTGGCATTTATTGCAACTGCATATCTGGAACATAGAGAATAGTTAATAGGAAAACTTGCAAAACATTTTTTAGCAGCTATTGGCAGCCTAATTCAATTCAAAGAGGGGAGTCAGGGAACCCCTGCCAGTGTAATTCACACAAGAATTTGTCACTAAGGACTTCTTCATTTTAAGAAAGTAGAAGCAATTTTTATTTTTTGTGTGGCAGTGAATGTGATATGAAAATTGTTCCTGATTTATAATCTGAACACAAGAAAACACAGAAAAGTCAAACTCATTCTTGATAATTCAGGAAAATTAATTTACTGAAATTATAACAAATATCCTTTTGTTTTTTACAGGTTTTCTCTGTCACTGTCACTATGAGTTATGACTAAAATGTGCATTTCAGGTCTAACTGAACAGGCTGTAAGGTAAGGAAGAGAGATGCTCTTTGAGAAAGCAGAATACATCTTAGTGCTTCTACAGCAGAGGAATGTGATAAATATTGACATATGTGTGGATCACTCAACATGGGTATCCATGAGAGCACTTCATGTGAACATGAATGGGCAGGCAAAGAAAACTGAGATAAAATAGCAACATTTGGAAATATGTAAAGAACATGCTCTTGATACCCTCAGGAAGGCCTAGTACCAGAAGTCTTGCAATTAACTCTTTGTGTTTGGCTTTGTATTTTGATGAATCCAAGACTATTTTTATAAGTTTACAATATTGTCTTTGAGAAACAGACATCATCAAAGGAGTTTTGTGAAACAATTGCATTTGGATTTTGAGTCCCTGGGTCCTGTGTCTCCAGGTGTTTCATGGACATGTCATCACTTACCTATGTCTACTGCGTGTCCCATATTGTTCATTAAAGCTGTACATCTTCCTGAAAACTGATCAAAAGATATTGTCTACTTTATAGATAATGAGATTGAAAAAGCCTAAGTAAACTATTTAAAATTCCCAATGTAACATTTTTAAGAGCAAGATTCAAACCTAAGTTTCATTAATTCCAAAGACCAGTACATTAAAACACCCTGTTCTACACCCTTCAATGTCATTTAGTCTCTTTGGAGTTGAATTTCTTTATATGCATGAGGCAATAAAGTCATTCCATATATTTTTTCAACCACTAGATTAATAAAAATTACAAAGTTGTATGTATATATATTGTTATATGTTGTTTTATATGTATTGGTGCTTTGATTGCTTTTATGGTCTTTGAAGGACAAATGTGCAGTGCATTGCAGAGTCCAGACATGGCATCAGATCCCTAGGGACTGTAGTTGTAGGTAGTTACAAGCAACCACATGGGTACTGGGAATCACAGCCATTTCATCCTTAAGAGCATCATTTTTAACTACTGAACAATCTCACCAGCCCTTGGATGTGTCAGGATATTGAATTACTATCCCACGATTTATATTCCTTCTCCCTCAAATTCTAAATTACCTTAAATATATAAAAATCCAGTAGATATATTCAACATGGGTGTTCTTGTTTGTTGTCTGTTGCTGTAATAAACACCATGAATGAAGGTTACTTGGAGGAATTTCAATTTAGTGACCATCATGAAAGGAAGTGGGGACAGGAATTCAAGGCAGGAAACTAGAGTCAGGAACTGGAGCAGAGGCTGTGGAGGAATCCTGCTTACTGGACTTCAGAGTAGGCTCACATTTGGCATTTCCTTTACCTGCCAGAAGGTCATTTATATATTATAGGATGGACTTTGAGCACATCCATCCAAGATTTCACTGACCCCCAAGACTCTTCATTTTATATTAACCAACTTGTTCTCCAAGCCATTTTGCTTATGTTCATGTCATCTGTTTTGATGGGCTAAGAATCTCTAAAATATGTGTATCGAATAAATTTAAAACTGATTCAATCCAACTAATAAATTATATCAAATTATATTCATTAACTGTGATGAAAAATTTTGCTGTGCTGTTGGAATTGGTGCCAAAATATTCCAATGACAAGTTCTACATGTGTGCTCATTTATGGACACTGGTTCTTTCTTCCTTCCTGCCTGCCTGCCTTCTTTCCTTTCTCTCTCTTTCTCTCTCTCTCTCACTCTATTTATCTATCATATATCATCCATTCTCTATCTCTCGTATGTTTTCCACTTTGAATTCATAGCAAGATCATCCTGGTTTCACAAAATTTCAGAAGAATTTCTTCCTCTTCAAGTTTTTGGAATAATTTAAATATTAGGAGCATGTCTCTTGATGTTTTGTAAATTAAGCTGCATACTAACCTGACACTAACTACTTCATTTCTCAGATCTTTCTACTTATTCAGTCATGTTACTTATTACTAATACCCATAACTTTATCAGTTAATTCTAACCTATCAATTCTGTTGAATTGAAGCTGTCCATAACAATTTCCCATGTCTCCATTTCTGTAGTATCACTCAGAAAGAACTCCAAATTTTATTTTGATATTCTTTCCTCTTTTATTGTAATCTTCATCTGTTAGTGAAATGCTTATCATTTTGAAAAATCAAAGTTTTAATTGCATTAACTTTTAAACATTTTGACCTTCATTTCTTTTATTTCTGTTTAACCTTAATTGTTTCTTTCTATCACTCTGGGTTTGGTCTACCACCTAGAATTTCCAAGATATATGATTTGTTCCTGGTCCCTCTGCTATAATAATAAAGATATCAAAAACCAGGAACATTTCTGATATTGATATATCCCAGAAGCTCAAAATGTTTTATTCCTATTTTCTCAAAGGGACTTAAAATTTCATCCTCAATTATTTTGTGGTTCAAGAGTACATTATCCACTTTCCATATATGTGATATTCTGGGTTGTTGAGTTTTTCTCTTTCTGCTCTTGATTTCTTGTTTTATTGAACTGTGGTTGAAAAAGGATATATTATAAATTTCCTATTTTTTAGTGACTTATTTTGTAGACTACCGAAAGACAAAGCAAGCATTCCACGAGTTGTTGAGCAGAGTTAGTGTCCTGCAGCTGTTGATTATTCTGGAGATTTCTCTTAAATAAAGTGTGTCTGCATTGTGATTTATCTCTCTTCTCTATTTGACGTTTTATCTCAATAATGCATCCTCTGGTCAAAGTGACACATTAATAGAGATTTAAAATGATTATTTGCAGCTTATATCTCTTCTTGGGTATTTTTATTATTGGGTTTATATATTTGTTTATTCTGATTTTGAAGTTCTCATACATTTAGAATTTTTCCTTCTCACTATGCCATTATTCAATGGTATAACTTGTATTGGTTTTTAAAAGATTTAATTCTTAAAGCAAGTGACTCCAAATTTCTCAGAGTGTCAAAGTGTAAAACAAGGGTAACTCATTCTTTCCTGTCTCCTACAATCCATATTTTTTATAATAATTTTGATGCCAAACACAGTATTCTGTTATCTTTCTTCTGAAGCTTTTATGAAGATAGTTTAATGCTGTGTGGATTGTGAGTAAATGGATGTAACTATATGAATTAATGCTGGAACAACATGTTCCATTATTATCTTGCTCTGCTCCCAGAATTTATAACTTTATTCAATTTTATGTGTTACATTTTTGAAGGTCTCTGTTAAAGAAAAATATATTTTAATATTTTAAAATTATTCTTTCCTCAAAATATTTTTTAAAAAGAGTTCAATTTATGTTACCTCTTCACTTCATATTTTTCTTAAGCACAAGGCAATATTGTCAAGTTATATTTCACTGTATTCATGAACAAACATTTTCATTGGTAAAGCAATTCAATGACTGGTAGTTTCTTAAAATAATGTTTCATAGCAAACTTTCCTATGAGGATACCATTAATTCAAATATTAAATATTAACATATGTATTATTACTGGAAATAGTTAATTGCTCTTTCATACTATCTACTATACTTTGTGACATCCTAGACAGATGAGACAAAGAAATGACAAATGAATAGAATGAATGGGATCTAAGGCCTACACAGTGATTTGAAAGGCAGCATAGGCAATTTAGACTGCAACAAAACCAGAGTGTGGAGGATACGATATATATATGGATTCACTGCCAAACAAGTAGGACTCAAATGTTAAATCATTAGTCCTGCAAAAATAGAAAACCACAAACTCAACCTCTAAAACTATCCTTTAGCTTAATTTGAAATGAAAATTTATCAGGAACTAATGCATAGGAACACAATTCATACTACCCTAATTAAGACATAAAAATCTTTCATATTAGCTAGAACTTGATTCCCTGTTAGCACCAAACACCATATTTTATAATTTGCAACAGATGAAAAGAAAAAGTAGCAGAGTAAATGTTCTCAGTGTGTCTCACTACTTTTTAAAATGAAGATGTAATATATTACAGAGAAAGAAATATTCTTGTGCGTAACTCTTGCAGACTTACACAATTATGGGATACCAATGTTTCGTATGTCTACAATAATATGAATAATAGCTACCAAGATAATACTAATGGCTCAATATTTACATATGACACTTCATGCAAAATAAATATAGGCTAATAAAATGAATTTTTTATGGCATCTCTGATTCTCTGTTTCCTCTCAGCTCTAGGAAACCAATTATTTACAGTATCCTTCACTTATTTTCACTCCTATTTAGAATTGCTTTTCTTTGGAGATGTTTTAGTAAGTTTTATTCATGCAGCTACTGAGTGTGTTTGAAAATGATAAAGGTTGTAAAGAGCTATATACACTAGCTACACTGTACTTCTGTGAATATATTTTAATGGAAATCTTATCAACCAAATGTCAGAATTTCTCTAGTGATATTCACACTGTGGCAACACTCTTTCTCTGAAAAAGAGCCAAAGATTTGGATGTAAAACAGAGATAGAGAAAATATATTTATTCTAAGTATTTTCAGATAAAACAACTTTCTTGTATTTTATTTGTTTAAAACAAGGTGCATGGTACACATTTGATAACACCATTGCTACAATAAAAAAGAAGAAATAGTTTCTATATGTTTTTCCCAAGCAAGGAAACAAAATGTTCTATGTAAAGTTTTATAAATAAATCTTTCTTATCTGCCTCTTTTGGTATTCCACCTTTGTTTCCATGACACAAATTTAAAATGCAGTAAGTTAAGGACAGACAGTATTCATGTACACATGCAGGTTTGTACATTCATCCTGAGTTCTATTTCTTCTGAAAACAATAATGGACAGGACTCTGGGATCTCCTGGCCTGGCGATTACAGGCAGGTGGACTTAACCCTGTGGACCAAACAACCACAAGCCTGTTGACGGTACTGTGTAATCCAGCTCCTACCGAACAGGAGAGGTAGTGCCTCAGAATTGTCTGAACCCATGCATGATGAGACCCATCAGTTGGACCTGCTTACACCTAATGGAATAGAACCTTGGGACCGTACACACCAGGAGAGGAAGAGACCCCCACCTGTGCTCACTGGTAAAAGGGTTGGGAAGA